CGTCGTAACCGCGCCGGGACCGGTGAAAAAACTCGTTTCCGGATTTTCGTAGGGGCGCGGGCCGCGTATTATTCTCGAGATAAAAGGCCGAGAAGAGGGACGCGCATCGATCTATTTCCGTAGCAAAGTTTCGCGGCGAGACGAGACTCCCTCGAGGTTGGTACAAAAATAATTTAGAGCGAGCAGAAACACCCCATTGGCGCCCGTTTCGTCGGGATTCCATCGCGATGAATCGCTTTCGCGCTCCTGCCTCCTCTCCTCTCCTCTCGTCTCCTCTTTTCTCTTCTCTTCTCATCTCGTTTGTTGCACGCGTTACGTGCACCCGCCACGCTGTATCTTCGTTTTAGCAACGACGCTTTTGTTACGATAACGATGCTTCGTGGAAAAATAGGCCTCCCCTTCTCTTCCTTGCATTCCGGCGAGAGCGCCGTCACTTTCTAGCAAATATTTGAATTCGCGAGCGAAAGTTACTCTCCGAGGCTACAATGTAGAAACGTTTGACGAATTAATGCGTCCCTTCTCCTTCGTTAACTTTCGATCCGTTGGTAGTAACGCAACGGTAAACTCGATCGATCCGCCGATCATCGACCGCTCGTTAAAGATGCGATTCGCATTCGCTGTCGATGTCGACGCCACGGTTTCGCGTTCGCGTTCAGACTTTTGGCAAAGATCATCGTATTACGCGGATACCTTTACATAACAATTTGGGTCGTTCGCACCGACCGCGCTGCGCTCAATAGACTACGCTCGCTGTGAAACTGCCAGCTCTCGACCGAAATGTCGTCGCTTCGTGCGTTGCCAACAGCGGTTTCTTTTCTCGTTTCAGAGGGCAGAGAGGAACGGGGACTAGGCGCGATGTTCTTTCTCGCGTTCTTTATCCACCGATGATACGGTACACGCGTGCCAATTTCACGGGGGGATACATCCGTATAAGAGTCGTTTGCAGGCACGATGATGCACGTGGTTGTCTCTTATCTGACCGCTTCTCGATTGTTTTCAACGAATACGCCAAGATAAGAAATAAAATTTTTGCGCGCGGACTCACCTTGATGTCGAGATGAGCCACGTTCAAGGAATGCAGAAACGCAATTCCGTCCAAAATCTGCTTCAGCAGTCTGGCAACCTGTCGCTCTTCCGGAACTTCGTCTCTGTCCAATATCATCTGTAACTCGCCACCGGGAGCTCTGCGGACGAAAAACGTACTCGATGTGTAATGCGCGGAAACGTTGCGTTACGAACAAAGAGCAGAATATAATTTCGCTTACAATTCCAGCACCAACACCATCTCGGTGTTGGTCTCGAACACTTGATGAAGAGACACCAGGCGAGAGCAATTAGCCGCGGCATCCAGCACCGCGACTTCGTGTAGCGCTTCCGCCCTCAGTTCCTGCGCTCGTCTCCTCTTCCTCAGGAACTTGGCAGCCCACTGTCTTCCGCTCGATCTCTCCCGACATCTTCTCACCGTCGCATATTTACCCCTGCAAACAGAAGCGTAAACGGATGAGATTACGAAGTATGGTATAGAAACGTCTAAATTCTCGAACTCTGTCCGTTCGCGTTTCGACGTTCCGCTCCGTAAACAACGAGTGATCTACATCGCGGTCGATCGAAAGATCCGAGCAACGTCTAGAAAGCGAAGTCGCGCGGCCAATGCTCCTGAGCAGCGACTCTTTCGATTGTCCGCGCTCGAATCCCGGAGAACAACGGTGAAAGCATCGGCGGCGTCGATCGCGCGAGTCCTCGCGTTTCTTTTCGCGCTCGTTTTTCCACGACCCGTCGAGGACGACTCGAACGGTACGCGATTTCCAGCGGACGAGTCGTCTCGAGCGAGACGTTGGGCGGAACAGATGGACCGAGAGAGTTAACGTCGATGTAAGCGTCATTAGGGAGCATTGTTCGGTGGACGGTATCCCACAGAGCGGATCGCAGGAACGAGTCGAGGCCCCGCCGTTAGACCCGTCAACGATCGGCTATTTCTGTGTTCAGGTATACGCGCTATCCGCGTGGATACTTCCGAGCGGAAAGCACGCTGCGTGTCGCTTTAATTATCGGCGAGCGTAAAACTATTAACGACCGCGTTGATTTCGTAGACGGAAAAATTTTACGGTCTCGAGCAGCGTGAGATCACGGATGCAATTATCCGGGTGGCATTAACCTGAATCGGTGGACTCGTCGAGGGAGCAACCAGCAAAAATTCCCGATACCTTCGGTGATAAAGTTTCTGTACGGTTCTCGCGTGCGCTCGGCTCGCGTATTTTTCCAGCCAAGTCGAGTTATTCTCGCGGCGTCCGCGAGCATCGACGTGGACACTTTTCGCTCGATAAACTGGTTACGGAATCGACGTCGCGGAACGGGGCTAGCTCGTCTTCTCGCGGTGCAGCGAGGCTCGTGTATCGGACGCTCGAAGGTTGACGAACGTCGATAGCGTTCGAGGATTCGATCGACCGGTCTCCTTATCCGTGTTCTAATTACGCGATGTTCCAGAGGCGGATCTGTTGGTTCTTTATCTTCCTGGCGTGCCGAACAAACAGTCGAGAGACACGCGCGCGTTCGATATCGTCCAGCGAATAGACCCTCGACACGGCGATTTTAACGATCCGTGTCTGAGCGCTGGCAAAGGGCAGTGTTCCCCTTTGCTGTCGCTCGATAAGTTCGAGTGCCGCGACAAGAAAACGCTAGAGACGGAAGATCGATTCGACGAAGAAAGCCGTCTACCACAGGAAAACGCGATCGTTCACGAACGTCGACAATTACGGGTTATTTGGACGTTCGTTTACCGAAGGTTCTAATTTTCCAGCGAGGTCGCACCGTGATAATAACACCGTAGCGCTCGTTGTCGCTGTAGCAGTAATATCGGGTTTGCGGTTGTGGCGTTAGTCGAACGATTTCGCGAGCCTTTCTTACTCTCGAATCGTCTCTCGAAATCGTTTTTCGATCCTCGATTCTAAGCGTGTTACGGCTGCTAACACAAGATTACGTAACGCACGTAAACGCTAGGAAACAAGTTCAGAAGTCGAGGAAGTAAGCGAGCGAACTAGCGAGCGCGTCGTGGTTGCACTGCTATGCACGTGATCTCGATTTCCCTGCTCGAGAGCCCAGGTCGAACTCCCACGCTCCGTTGTTACCGCGCGTATGCACGATTCTCGTAAAGATCGCGCCTTCGACCAGCGCGTCCACTTTCCAGCCTAATTTGCTTCGAGAACGCGACGCGGTTCGTCACGAACTATTCAAGATCTACGAACGTGAAAAGGGAGGTGAAACTTTTGCTTCGCGAGCGGATCCAACGAGTCGTAGAAGGATGCTTCGCGAACGCGATGACGAAGAGATTCTCCCGAGCGGCAAGAAGAGTGCGGCAAGAAATCGAAATTGTGCTTTTCGTTCCCTCGAGGCAGCATCTGCGCGAGCCACGCGTTCGTTACGCTCGCCAACAAATTCTCCGTAATAGCGAGGAGGCAGCTGCAGCGAGCAACGATCAACAGGTGCCGCGATAAATCGAGGCCGAAACTTTGCGCGCGATCCGAGAGTCGGTTCTTGATTCGAGGAGCAAAATAAAGCGTATCGATTCGTCTAAACGCCTTCTCTCTGCGACTTGCGGAGGAGGAATCGAAGAAAGTTTCGCGCGCTTCTCTCGAGGTTGGTTCTCGTGACGTTAATAGGGTCAGCGCGCGAATCGTCGAACAAGATTAATGTTCGAGCGTGCTGCGTCGATAAAGTCTTGAGACGCGGTGAATTTTAAGTAGCCGTCGAGTTCGAGCCTAACGTCGCGTTAAACCAAGAGAACCAGGCCGATTCGAGGCCTCTAACGAGAAGTCGAGTGTACCTGTCCGACGATGTTCGCCAGCCTCTCGGATTTCTCCGCGAAAATACAAAGCGCCGACTGGAGTGACTCGTTGGAGGTTAATTACGCGGGATCATTAAGCGGTGACCTTGGAACGTATCGCGACAGAAACTCGACTTTCGTCCAGGAGAGCGTGGACTCGCGCGAGCGTGAATGTCGCGGATCAAACTGGTATATGGCACGGTTGCGACACCGGTATCCGCCGACCGCGCTTTCCATTGGCGTAGGTCAAATTCGTCGACCGGCGAAATGTCGATTCAACGCCGCCATTTTCACGACGAACGAAAGCGCTGTCCACGATAGAAGAAAACGCCAGCCCGATCGACGGGTTTCAACGAGAAATCACGAGGCCTCGACGTCGCGTTCGGATTTCTCCGCGAAAATGCAAAGCGACCGTTTCTCGAGACGCTTCGATTCTTCTAACGAGCCGGTCGTCGTCGTTTTGGTCCGCGCGTTCACCGTGAACGAGAAATCGAGGAAACAACCGTCGACCGTACTCTCCGTTTCTTCTTTTTGCCTTCGCCGGCCTAGTCGTTCGAAGAATAGCTCGGGGAATAACCGGTAGCTAATAACGACCGTGATCCGTGCCGTTGCTTATCGCGTCGAAACCCTGAAATTCGTCCACGACTTTTCTCGCGTTCGACGTTGAAGGATCTTTTATCGTCGACGAGCTCGTAAACGGTCTCGGCGAGAAAGGTAGGCGAATCTTCTCGGAGCTCGATACTTTTTACGACGTTAAAGTCGCTAAAGAGTGAACGGGAGAGATCCGTCGGAGCCACCAGGTGGCAAGAAGCTTTCTTCGAGGAGGTCTAATCGTTACTCGCGAGTTAAAGCGTCGCGTTCGCGAACTTACGATCGGCTTCCCAGAAACGACCGAAAGAAGGAAATAATACCTCGAACGTCGCGATCGCCTCAGCGACGTAACCGCGCGAAGAAGCATCGGGAAATCGTCGGGTTTCTTTCGCTTATCCAGGAGCTAACGACGTCGACGAACAGCGGTACGGATTTACGAGCTCCTCGAACCACGAACAACCGGCCAAAGCCGCTGCCCCGAAGTAGCTGGAAAGTGTACCGAACAGGAAACTGGACCGTTCCACTGCCGTGCTTCCCTGGTTAAAGAAACTCGCGGTCGCTGCTTCCTGCTGTTCGATCGCCTCGTCCGATACTCGCGCTACACGCGCATTCGACGAAACGCGTCGAAAAGATCTACGATCGGTGCTCTCGAGTTCGTCGCGTCGTCGTCGCAAATGTCGTGGGACCGCTTTCGTCGTCGACAGTTTCGCGAACATCTCGCGTTTAATATGTAGCGACGCGGCGAGATACTTTCACTATGTTTGTTTCTCTCGAGCAGCGACAGCCACGGTATTATTTGTCGAACGCGCGAGTCTCTCGGATTCGCGAGTCTTAAAGCGTGCTTAGGACTTTTACCGAGACGTTCGTACCGATCGGAACGCGCTCGGATACGCGCTAGAGATTCGATCGAGTTCACTCGTCGACTCGAAGGAACGTCGACGTCTCGAGAACGGAGCGGAGTCCCTTTGAAAATTCCTGGTCGTGGAAGGTAAAGTTCTAACCGAGGCTGAACGCGGTAGTGCCGCCAACTCCATAGAAAGTACACGCTTTCACCGTGGTATCTATGGCGGTACACGGTTCGTAGGACGCGCCTGGAGAATTCTCGTCGGATGTTCGGTATCCGCGGAACGAACGAACGGACAAGGTAGCGGTAGAAGGCGGTGTCCGTTTGCGGTGGGGTTCGCGTGGACGTAACCGCGTGGACGTTTCGGTAGTGGAGCTCTCCTAAATGGGAAGTCGGTCGTTTCTTCCCACGGCCGGGGATCAACCGCAAAGCTCGGAATGGCGCGTTACTTAAAACTACCGAGCGTAGACCCATTAAAACTGTATACGTAGCGTGGTGTAAGATCAACGACCCAGGGTCAAGAGAAGAGGTAGGGGAGCCGAGCAGAGCGTTAAGTGCTCGTTGCCCTCTGGTGTAGCGTGGCGGACCAGGAAATCGGTGCTAACACCGGGATCGGAGTCTCTTCTAGCGTCATGCAACGCAACCTCGTGTATCCGTCGTCCTTTAAGGCATCCATTAGCTTCCTAACTACTAAACGCGCCGGTGTCGGTCCGACGACCTCGCTCGTACCGACCGCGACCAGTCCTTCGCCAGGAACTTTCCTCCGTCTCTTCCCTCTTCGGGAGCTTGTCTTTTTATTTTTCTTACTCTTCCCTCTTCTGCTCGCTTCGTATCTCTCCTCCTTCTTCGGCGATCCGCTCCTTCGCCTCCTTCCGATACCGACGTTCGAGGGTCATCGACATCCGCGGTCGGAGACATTGTACGCGACGTCCGTCGTTGCTTCGGTTATCGCGGTTACCGGCTTCGCCACGCACCTTGCGCGCGTTAATCTACCACCGTAATCCCGCTGGCTTCTCCCCGACGCTTTCCAGCCGGCCTTGCGTATCCTTTCGCGCCTCGCGAAAGGAAGCCTATTCGAGGCACGAACGATCGAAGAAAAACCGTTTTAGGGTAGGTCGAAAAATCGCGAGGCTGCCCCTGAGAGACCGAGGTTGCGCAACGTTGCGTAATCGGCTAACGAGCCGCGAACGCAACTGGAACGAATTTCACCGCGTTGCGTTGGT